CAAAAAAAGTCTTTAAGTAAAAAGTAAGTCAAATGAAGAAAAATACTGTTCGCAGAGTCACAGAGTAGGTGGGGTTGGGGTGTAAAGTGAGAGTGTAGGAAGGAGGTCTTAGGGTCCAAGACCCTCCTGAGACTTTCTGAGGCCAGAGCCACAGTGAAGCCTGCGGGTGTCCCTTAAGGTGCCCCCTGTCCTCAATACTGAGTCCCGGATTAAGTCATCGGCTGGGTTTAGGGACCAAGGTTGTACCAAAAAAACACAGCAGCTTGAACCTCACCACGACGTGCAGAGTAAGATGTTTACACCGGGACTCGCGTGGAGGGTACGTTCACCTCTCATGTCCCGTGTTCCCTCGGGACACACACACACACACACACACACACACACACACACACACAGAAGAATGCTTTATGGAGAATGCCTCCTTTTTCCTGAGCAGGTAGAGCTGAGTGCAGAAGTTAAAAGTGTCACGAGGGTCCGACACAGGAAAGCCAACGATCCCGTGATCATCAAACTCAGGTTGGGGGGCGCTTTGGGCCTGTGGGTCTCCCCAGCAGCAGGCACCATTCCCCGAGCCCCCCTACTCACCCTGCAGCAGGCAGGTGCCGGCCTCCCCCGCCCCTGCCCTGCCCTCCAGCCCCCACCGGAGGGACACTCCCAAATACTGGTTTCGGGAACTGATCTGAAGACTGACTAATCCTTTTGCAATCCTTTCGCAAGTGTGTGGTTTCCACTTCGCTGCTTTCTACAAATGTGAAGAAAGGTTAGAAGGACTGGTCAGCTGATAGATTAGTAAAAATACTTTTGGATGACAGATTGTCACTTGATTGCCCATTACTCAGCAGCAGGAGAATTGAGTGACACTGCTATCAGATTCCTTCCACTCTCAGCTATTAATGGAAACCAGGCTTCTCTGCACTTATACAAAATAAGAATAGAAGTGATGACAAAACTGGCCTCGTTCTGGCAGCAACAGTCATTCCTGGGTACATGAATTAATTGGGGTGAAGAGGAAGTTGCATTCATCTCATTAGGAGATTATTTCCATGCAAATGCAAAACACAATGAGATGACACAAATGACTACAATTTTTAAGAGACTGGAAACACCAAGGTAGCAGCCTATATGCAGAGAAGGTGAAACCACCAGACCTTGCTGGTGGGAATGCATGATGGTACAGCCACTATGAAAGCTGGCAGCATCTCAGAATATGAAACACAGACAAATGTCATGTGTTACCTTAGGACCTAGCACTCTCTCCTAGGGATCTTCCTTAAGAGAAATGAAATTAGATGTTCACACAGAAACCTGCACATTCATGTTTGTAGCAGCTTTATAGTCATAATCTCCAAAAACTGTTAACACTTTGTCCTTTGGCTCATGAATGGTGAGAAACCTGCGGTATGTGCCCAGCATGGAATTCTACTGAACGACCAACAGCAACAGTTGATACGCAACCACGTGTATGAATCTCAAAATACTAGACTCAGTGAAAGAAGCCAGCCTCAAAAAGCTACATCCTGTACGATCGCATTTCTACAACATGCGAAAACTGTCTAGTTGCCAAAAGTTAGAGGACTTGGGGGAGGGTTTCATGACAATGGGAGAAGCAGGAGGAAATTTCGAGGGAGGATGAACTTGCTCTGCACCTCGGTGGGCGGTGGCTGTTACAGAAAAATGTATTACAGAGCGGTGTTACAGCTCAGTTGTGACAGCAACCTGGATCAGGGCGAACAACCAAGCCACACCAACTAGCAATCAGGAAGTTGGAGAACTCACGTCCACTACGCCAACGTACCCACAAAAGTTAACACTTCAAACTCTAGACCTCAACGATACGTTTACACAGGCCTTTTATAGGCTGCCAGTTTTACACTTTGCAACATTATATGCAAATAAAGTACAACGAAGCTTACCAACCAGGAACAAGCTTTGTAGAAACAGACCAATCAGGAGTGAGCTCCATGCAAATGAAGTACTACAAATGGACCAATCAGAAGTTAGGGAAGTGAGCCAATCAGAAGTGAGAGTAATAACCAATCAGAAGTGAGAGTAATAACCAATCAGGAGTGAGCTCAGGGAACCAATAGGATTTTAGGTGTAAGTTAGCCGCTTTAGAGGCAAAAAGTGAGATAAAGCTCTGGGCCAGGGAACCCGACGGTGCTGGGAGGAGAGCAGCGGCCCTGCCTAGGGGTCCTGCTGGTCTTATGGGACTTCCCGCCTCACGGCTACTTGGATCTATGACCTGTGTGTTGAATCTCCTTGAACTGCACACACACACATCAGCTCTACTTTGTAAATCTTTAAAAATACAAAGTATATATAAAAAGGAGATACATTCCAATAAAGGTTTACTTCTTTGATATATAATAAAATACAAAACATACTGATGTTGATCAGTCGGGTACCTAAAGTTGATGGCAATCCACACACACACCCCCAAAAATTTTAACCTTTCTGGTCACAAGAAAAAATATAAATGTCCATGTCAACCTATATAAATACTATGTTGCAGAATGAATATTAAGACTTGAAGGTATAAATTATATGATATTTAGCTACAATTTTAGTTGGGGGGAACAGAAGAAAATACAGCTTCAAGGAGCAAGTGGAGGCTAAACTTTCTGCCTAGGAGAGCCTATGCTTTTGGTTTTGTGTTTTTAACGGTGGCGAGGATGATGCACCATTCTACTTAGATCGCTTTGGGCCCCGTCTGAAAGTAATGAAATGGTTTTATTTTAAAACGGCAAACGTAACAATTAGCGGGAAATGTCATCCTTTGCAACTATTCAAACTTGGATAAAGCGTGTCCGCGTCCGCCTGGGTGAGCAGGTGGGTAGTTTTAGGAGGGGGTGTGCAGTACGCAGGCGCAGGGCCCGGCGGAGCCCCGCCCCCAGGACCCAGCGCAGAAACCCGGGGGCGGGTCTTCCAGGCCAAAGGCTGCCTCCTCATAGCGGCACCTACGTCATCACGATCCGGCTTCTGCGTCATCAAAGGCCTCTTGCATCATCGCGGCGCCCCTTGGGGCATCACAGCGCGTCTGTGTACTACAGCAGCTCTCGTGTTACCGATGACCCTCCGAAAGGGAATCCTACGTCTTTCTGGACCCCCCCCCCGGGGATCCGGTTCAAAGTTGTGGACTTGCACCCCCAAGAAAAGCGCACGGCGTTTCACATCAAATCCTGGGGGACTGCTGGGGCCAGACTGAGAACAGGCCCCTTTAAACTGACCTGCGGGAGTGGGGGTGGGGCGGCCCCCCACCCCCGCTCACCCCCCCACCAAGCCCGTGGCGGGCCCCTTCCTCCATGAAAAACGTTTCACGTGGCGTCTTACAAAGCACTGGTATAAAGGTGAACATACTATACGAGGTGTCCATTTTTTTCTATGTAAAAGCTTTTTTTTTCCTTTCCATTTTAAAAGAAATGAAAATATTTATCTGGGCCCCTGAAAGTTCTGCGGGGCATAGGCTCTGTGCCTGCCGGGCTCTGTGAACGCGCCCCTGGCTCACCGGATGGGAATCCCGTCCGTTGGTCACCAGCTGGGGGACCCACCCCAACCCCCAGCGGCGCCATAAGGAGGGCGGCCGGGGAGCTGCTGGAGGCCACGGGGCTGTGTCCGGTCAGGCTGACACGGCAGGCCCGTGACGGCGCGGTTCCCCATCAGGAACTACCTAGAGAAACTGGTCCAAGGGGGTTTCGGTCACTGACATCCCAGCTCCTTGGGCGGTGCCTGGGGTTTCGTACCTGCTCAAGGCTCAGTGAAGGGAGGAAAGAATGTTGTGTCTGCAATAGGAGGAAACCGGAAGCAGCTTAGGTGTGCACCCAGAGCCACTGTGATGACCTGTGCTTGGAGGCCATTAAAAGGAATGAGCTAGTTCAACGCGAAGGAGCGGGGCACAGTGCCCAAGACAGGAACAGCGGAAGTGCCCAGCTGGGTGGGAAAGATGCTAAATCACAGTGGATGAGGACAGTTGCAGATGTGTGCAGCCCTCACCACATGCCAGCTGCATTCCAACAACATTTCACCTGTTAACTCGCTGCAGCCTCCCAGCGCCCCTGCGAGAGGGAGGTGCTATTATCCCCATTTACAGGCAGAGAAACTGAGGCACGGAGCTGTCAAGTGACTTGCTTGAAATCCCAAAACTACAAAGCGGCGGAGCTTAGGTTCAAACCCAGGCCACCTGGCTCAAATCCATTCTCTTTACCCTTTTTCTTTTCTGGTATGTATGTAATCAGAGAAAGCAAAAATCCAGACCAATCCTGCACACCTTGATTTGTACATAAACAAACAGAAAAAAATCCCTGGCAAGTTCCATGTCCAAGTGGCAAAGGTGGGGCGGGGGTAGTGGGCCAAGCAGCCTTGACCCTACTCTTCCTAAACAAGGACTGAGTTGGCGCAGTTTTTATACAAAATCTTACATAAACACAAGGTTCAAACTCGAAAACCACGGAGAGACAGGTCGGCAGCCCAGTCCCTGAGAGACGCTCGTGGCCACGGCCAGAAAGGAGCTGCTTTCTGAAGAATAAAAGCCCAGGACGTCCCAGGAAGCCGCCAGCCCCCAGCACACAGGCGGCCACAGACTCAAGCGTTCACTTTTTAAAACAGTTTATTAATTCAATTGTGAATTATTTTTAAAAGATGATAAAACTCATTTCTCTTCCAGTAGAAAAGAGACAGAGGCTCGCCCCGGAGCCCGGGAGCCCGGGGTGAACGGGTCTCCCACCCGACCAGACGCCCAGGCTGACGGGCCCCGGGCCTCTCCACCTCTGCCCCGGCACCTAAAGCTGAGGGCCCTGGTGGGGGCGACTCGGGGCACAGCACCCCCGCCCCCGCCACCCCGGCCAGGGAGTGGCCGGCTCAGTATACAGGATGACGTCAGTTTAGGCTGGATGGAAGGGGCCGGACACCAAACCCGAGGCCTGTGCAGACTTCAGGGAGGTCTCCATCCTGCAGGGGATGAGGACGCGGTCGGATGCATCTCGGATTCCGAGGCCCAGATGGGCGTTCGGCCGGCCAAAGCTCTGGGTCCAGGCCAAGCACGGAGCCCCGGCCGCCTGCCCGCCTGGCCCCCGCACAAGTCTGCACTCCCGGGCTGGGCTTCGGGACAGCGGCTGGTCCTCTGGAGTAAAGGCCTTGTCCTGCCTGGATGAGCCACCAGGCGGGGGCCGCAGTGTTTCAAGGCTGATGGAGAAAGCAGCTGGGGAGAGCGGCACGAGTCGTTAAGAGCCTGGGCCCGACGGCTCAGCCAGGGGAGGGGACCCCATGCCCAGGGCACCCGTGGTCGGGCCTGAGGGTCACTTGAAGAGAAGGTTCTGGAAACAGTCCTTGTTGACGAGCCTCTCTCCAAGTCCCCTCAGCAGCGGCTCCATCCCTGAGTGTGTCTGCACACCCCTATGCCCAAGCGTGGACACGTGCTGGGGGTGTGCAGCGTGTGACACGAATGTGGCAGCAGGAGGTGGGGGCTCAGGCTTTGGGACTGGTGGGCTGTCCTCTGAGAGAGTCCTGAAGAAGTGGGGTGTAGGGGCTGGGGAGCCCGTCTGGCTGAGTGGCCAGGCCAGGCTGGCTCTCGGCATCTTTGGGACCCTGCGGAAAAAGGGGAGGGGCGGTGGATTACCCAACCCCGCCACCAAGCCCCGCCCACATCCCCAGCCCCGCCCCACCCCTGCACATCTTCCACCAGCACAGAAACCCCCTGAGAGTCCCCAGCAGCAGCCCCCCATCTGTCAAGCTCGAGATGAGAAAAGACTGGAGTGACCTACAGACTCCTGGGACGCAGCTACAAAGGGTCTCCTCGTCCCATGAAACACCATCTTGCCTTGACCCCATTTTAGAGATGGGGAAACTGAGGCCCAGAGGGACTTGGCCTGACACAGTGAGGAGGGCAGAGCAAGCAGTCCAGGGCTTATATAAGCCATTACTGTTAACCCAGAGAAACTAGAAACCGTCTAAACGTCCATGGACAGCAAAATGCATTTTTAAAATATAGCCACAAGCTGGTATTCAACCTACAAAGCTGTGACAAACAGAAAACTGAGGGGAGGACAGCCCGCTGCGGACTGATTCATAGTCTGACACCACTGCGACGATCCTTTTAAAAATTATCTATTGCTCATGAGTGCCTACGTACAGATTTAGAGGTGGACAATGGGTGCCTCTGGGGACAAGGGGAGGGGCGGGGGAGTCGGAGAGGCGGGGCAAAGGTCACCCAGGGAGAAGGGGAAAGAGGACATGTTAACAATAAATGTGGAGTCTGGGTGAGCAGGGACTCAGGGAACTTACTGTGATTTACCTAGTTTTACATTTAAAAAAATTTCTCAACATAAAGAATTACAAATTTTCTAAAGGTAGCAATGATTATAAGAATTGGGGGCAACTTTTCATTCCCCTAAATCCTCTGTCTTCCCCTGAAGAACAGAGGCCTCCCTGCCCAGCAGCTGTGGTTGGACAATCCCAAATGCCCCCACCCCACCGGGGGCCTTGCTCACAAACCCCAAACCCCAGAGGGGCCAACTCCTGGCTCCTCTCCTCAAAGCCAGATCTAAGGCTTCCTGGATTGAGCCACGTTCAAGCCAGGGGCAACGAGGGGAGAAAGGCCAGAGTGAGACCAGCACCCCCTGCAAACATGCACCACGGCAGAGAGGCAGCATGGGGCGGCCAGGCATGGCCAGGTTTTCAGCAACATAGGCCCAAAGAGCGAAAGATGCACGTAACAAACCCTCAAGGAACCAGAAGCTGAGGCCCATTCCTCCTCCTCCTCCTGTTCCCTTCCACTTTCTTTTAACTAAGGACTGAGGACTTGAAATTAATGAAAGAGAGATGAATGAGAAGGTTAAGAAAGATCCAGAAACATTTCCCTGAGGGCTGCCCAGTACAGTTGTCCAGGCTGTTCACTGCACAAGGGTACCCAGGCAAGAGGGCTACAAACGAGTTGTTCTCTGCCAAACCGTCTGCCCTAGAGCTGGCCATGTCTGCAGAGGGGCTGTCTTTTTCTTATTTACATAAAAACACCCTTCTGGGCTAGCAGAGGCCCCATTTCCTGCCTTTCCCGGAGCAAAGCAGCCCTTCAAGGCCACCCCCATGACCAGCTATAGGGCAAGGTCTGGGAGCTCCCCCCCAAGGACCCAGGCTGAGACTCAGCACAGGCTGGAGGCCGCCCTACAGGGATTCCAGGTCTCCAGGACCACCGGCCACTTCCCAGGTGCCCAGTTCCCTAAACCGGAGACTACAGGACACTGCAGTCCCCAAGTATACATGACCGCAGGGAGGGGTCCCATCTGAGCTGAACAGTGAGCCACCTTCCAGGAGGCATGGCAGTAGAACCTCTTTAATCAAAAACTTCCCTGATAACTTGAAATTTGGATTCTGCTGGTAAAATCAAGAGGAGATCCTAGTTTTGCTTTTGTTTCATTTGGGTGGGTGGGGGTGGCAGGACATCCTGGCTGTGTCCAGGGAGGGGCAGCTGGGGGCCTCTGACATCACAACCACCAGCTATACCTGTGCTGAAAGCAAATAACCCCCTTCTCTGTGCCCGAGGACTCCACCCCGCACCCCGAGAACACCAAGACAAGTTTCTGCAGAGAGATTGTGGCTGGAAGGGGGCAAGGGTGCCCACGGAGTCAAAGTGCACACAAGAGGGCATCTCGGAGAAATACCAGGAGAGAGGAAGGAAAGGGGGACTCATTTGCAGCCCGGATCCTCTGCTCCCGATCTCAGGAGGACACCCCCTTAACACTCCGCCCTGACGTGTTATCCCCAGACCGGCAGGAGGAGCCCCCCCAAGAGCCTGGATGGGGACACAGCTGGCCCTCCCTCCTGCTCCTCGCAGGGCTGGCAGCACCTGCCAACACAAACACACCCACGCCCAGCACTTGGCATGTTCTGTTTTATCTCCTCCTCCAGCCCTGGCAATCGAAGTGAACCGGAGGCAGCCAACTGGCCCGAACGAGCGGGGCTGTCGCCTCGTCCTGGGTCTGTGGCTCTCAAATAGCTTTAAAGCTATTTAAACCCGAGCAGGCCCAGCCGCGGAAGCTGGCGAGGGCAGCACTGTTTTCGGAAACCAAAATAACAGCTATTGTCAGAGTCACAACCGTAGAGCAAGTCATCCCCGCCCAACCCCCAACCGTAGGGCCAGGAGCCCTGCCTGTCACATCCCCTGGAGGGGCTGTGAAAGACCTCAAGCCTAAAGGGGCGCCGCCCAGGAGAAGGTGAACCCCCCAAGGCACTAGCCTACTTCTTCCACAGCAGGCTGCCAGCCAGAAGGACAGCAAACAGCTAAACGTGAATTTCAGGTAAACCGCAAACAGGTTTTCAGTATAATCACGTCCTGATAATCGCATGGGACACACAGGCTAAAAATCATTCACCGCTTACCTGCAATTCACATTTAACTGCGCATCCTTTTCTTGTTGTCAATTCTTGGGTTTTTTGTTTGTTTGTTTTTGCTCAATCTGGGAACCCTATCCTCAGGCTGAGTCCTGGATATACAGCTGGTGCTCAGTTGCTGCCTAAATTCTTTTTTCTTGGTCCATCATCCAGATATATTTAAGCCAATCTACATCAAAATCCCCTCAGGGGTCCATTTAAATACAGATGCGGGGGCCCCAGCCACGAGTCTGTTCCCGGAGGTCCAGATGGGTGTCCTGAGTTTTTAGCAGACTTCCCCGGAAAAGAGTCTATCGCCCCAGAGGTTCGAGAAGCAGCTCCCCTAAACCTCGATCCTGCCTTTCTAAGATAACCCTGCAAGTAAGACCCCAGCCCACAGGTGGCGGGTCGCCCTCTGTCTCCCAGCACGCCTGGGGGTCAAGGAAACCGCCGCTGGCTCAGAACACAGCAGCACACACAAGTCCGTGTTTTCGGTCCGTAGACACTCCAGGTGAAGTTTAGGCGGAAGAAATGTGTAAGATCCTAAGCGTTTCAAGCCGCCAGAGTTCTACTCGCTACGGGGGGGGGGGTGGCGCGGGAAGGCGGGGGCGCGAGGCGTTACCTGGTACCCACCTACAGTCTGGCCTCCTGCAGCACAGTCCCCTTGGGAGCTGATGTCATCAGGGATTCAGAATAGGCCTGAATGGCCTCCTTATCCTTTGAGCCCTTTTTACTACTACTCCAAAATAAATAGCATTTCTCCTAGAAGATAACCAAGCTAATTTATAGTTGACGTTGCAGTCAAACGGAAGAGGGTTTACGCGGTTCTTTGATTTGGGGGGAAAGCGGAGGGTGGGGTAGGGGGTGCGAGAGCCCAGAAACCATTAACGACTGGGGCCAGCTGAGAGGTGGGGCAGGAGGCTGGCCTTCACCGGGGACAGAAACGCGGCAATTTTCGGGAAACACGCTGGGTCGAACAGACAAGCCACGCTGAAAGGGGTTCGCTTGAAAATTGAGGGCCGAATTGAGGGAGGAAGGCGGGGCGTGTGGCGGGCAGGGTGGCCTGGCAGAGACACAGCGGGCTGAGCAGTTGGCGTTTTAAGAGTCTCATGCTCCACTGAGCTAGCAGGTGGCATTTTCAATCGACCAGAAACAGAGATACTTCTGTTAAAAAAATTTGCTTTTCTTTTAAGAATGACTTGAGGAGAGAAATGTCTTTGAAGAGAGATGAAAATACATTGAGTTTAAAGACATGCTGTTCTTTTTTCTCCCCCCACAATTAGGACAAATACATCAAAACATGTAAAGCTTAATTAACCCTTGCCAAACCAAAAAATACGTAATGGGATAAATGTCCATGATTTGGCCTCCAGCGATGGGGAGGGAGCCTCCACCAGCATCAGTAGAAACAACAGCATTCTTATCAGATTTGGGGTCACTGATGAGGGGTGGGGTGTGAAGCTTTCATAGTTTGTGTCCTGACTTCCCTCCCCCTCCCCCTCTGATGGACGATCAGGAGACAGACTGAGGGACAGAAGGCAGAGGCCGCCTTGGCCTCCTTCTCCGGCCCAGCCCCTCTCCAAGCTGCTCCCCTGGGCCCTGCATGTGGCTGGGTGTGTCTTCACTGCTGGAAGCCCATGGTGATGCTGGGCCCAGGGAGGTATCCGTGGGCCGGGCTTCCGGTCCCTCTGCCCTCCCAGCATAATTCAGTCCCCAAACCATCAGGAGCTCCCCTCTGCTCTGACTGGGGCAGTGACAGAGGACGGGGCACCCAGCGTTCATCGGGGGCTCACAACGCCGAGGCCCTGCCACCCTCACCCCAGTGCAAACCTTTTGCCCCAAAGGATGGGGAATTTGGAAGGGAAATTGGGTTAAGGGTTTGAAAGCCCAGGTTAAGAGCCAGGAAAGGTTTATTATCGCCCCAGCAAGTGAGCAAGCGAGCAAGCAAGCTGCCTCTGAGAAAGTGGAGAAAGAGAAAAAGCTGTTTGGCCAAAGCGAAAGCAAGAAAGCTGGCAATGCGGGGGCCGGAGGGGCGGCAGGAGAGCCGGGCAGCCCCGTCGAGGCTCCCCCACGCCCACTGCCCGGGGACCCTGCACTCGCAGGCCTCGTCCTGACGGCAGTAACCTGCTGAAAGCAGTCTTGCCCCTGGGTCCAGATCTCATATTCTGCTCATGCCTGTATCCCCCAAACTGTGCACAGCGCCCCCCAAAACAAGTTGTGAAGGTGTCAGTGAATGCCGTGAGTGAACGAATGAATGCTATGTAGTCAAGAAGGGGTGTCTGGGGGGAAGCATACAGCTCAATGGTAGAGCGCATGCTTAGCAAGCATGAGGTCCTGGGTTCAAGCCAAAGTACCTCCACTAAAAAAAACGAAGGGGTATCTGTTGCCACCCCCACTTCTTCCTGTCTCTAAAGGGCAGATGCCTCAGGGCTGGGTCCTCAGAGCTCCTCTCCTTCGATGCTCCCTTCCCGAAATACCTGCTCCCAACCTGGTCCAAGCCACCATCCTCGCTCAAATGGGCCTCCTCACTGGTCCCCCTGCTTCCTCTCTCAGGCCCAGCATAACCTGCCTCCACCTCTCAGGCACCACCTCCTACCTTGCTGCCCCCATGCCCACTCCCCTCCAGCCATCCTGGCCCTGCAGGATCCTCCAACAGGTCTCACCCATCCCTGCCTCAGGGCCTTTGCACTGGCCACTCCTCCGCCAGAAGCACTCTTTCCGTGATTCTGTGCTGAGCATTCACATTTAAGCTTAAAGTCAATCTCTTCAGAGAAACCTTTTCTGACATTCTCTCTCTAGTTGTCCCCAACCCCTCTGGACACCGCACTGTCCAGCCTGGAAGCCACACATGACGGATGAGCCTTTGAAATGGGGCAAGTCCGAATCAGGACCGGCTGTAAGTGTATAAGAGAAACCAACTTTCAAAGACTCAACCTGAACAAAATAAGGCAAAATAGTTATATTTATATTTTTTATGTTGATTACATGTTGCAGTCGTCATAGTTTGGCTGTATTTGGGTTAAATAAAAGATATTAAAATTAATTTTTTTACTTAATGTGGCTATTACAAAATTTAAATTTAAAATCACACACATGGCTCATGTTGTATTTCTATTGGACAGCACTGCCCTAAGCCCATCACATTTTCTACCATCTTTATCATGGGTGAAATCATCTGTTTACTTACTTGGTTTCCATCTGTCTTTCCAACTAGAACGCCAGCCCCCGTTCCCCACCCCGACCTCCAGAGCAGGGACTGCGTCTGCCTTGTTCACGGCTGTGTGCCCTGTACCTGCCAGAGCCTGGCACCCTGCAGCTGCTGATTTGATGAACAAACCATTCGAGTACCAGGTCTCATTATCCAAACGCCCCCTGCAGCCCCTCCGAGGGAGGGTCCCCAGGCCTCCCAGAATAGGCAGAAAAGTGGTAACAGAAGACACAAGAGAGGCAAGGATGTAGCAACAGCTCCCAGGCCCCAGGCAGAGGCCGGGGACCAGGCTGAGGGTGTCTGTGGGTGCAGCAGGAAGGGACGGCCCCGGGATCCGATCTGAGCCCCTCCTTCCCTCAAGCAGGCAAGCAAGGGGCTGCTCGGCCGGGGCCGCGCTCTGGCCAGCACCTACTTGGTTCCGGATTTGGTAGATGACGGGGATGAGCAGCAGGATGCAGCCCAGGGCAAGGAAGACGTACTGGGCGTAATGCAGCACCTTGGGCATCAACACCAGCTGGGTGTAGAACGTCTGAAGGGTCTCACCCTCCATTGCCCCGCTCTGGGGAGGGAGAAGGGCAAACAAATGGACTGAAGCCACATGCTGTGAGCCTACGGTGCAGATGCCACCCCACGCCACGGCCCTCTGCCCTCCCCACTCTTCCCCATCTCGAGCCCACTGGCCAAAGTGTGTGATGGAACCTGCCAGTACCTCTATTTCCTCCAGGGCCACACAAGAGGACTACATTTCCCAGACACCTTTGCAGATGGGCAAGCCCATGTGACCTGTTCTGGCCAATGGCATGTGGGCACAGTGATGTTACACCTTCCATGCCTGGCTCCCATGTGATTCTCTCCATCTCTTTCCCAATTTACAGAACACAGACAGATTCTGAGCGTCTCAAGGAGGGCAGGAGCCTGGATGTCCCTGAAAGACTGCGCGGGGCAGAGCTCCACCTCTCCGCCAGCCCACATCAGACTGTGATGTGAGCAGGAAGTGAACCTGACATTCAGAGGTTGTACTGGCTGTTAGCTGACCCTGATTTAAAATGAGCGAGGCCAGAAGGAACCCTGAAAAGCTGGGAGAAAAGAAAGTCCAAGTGAAAAGCTGACACTCTGAAAACCAACTTCCCTTTGTCTCAGGAGAAGTGGTCACATGCGTTAACAAAATCACGGCGTCAGACACCACGGGTGCCTGGTACCCAGGGAGAGGGAGGCGGCCTTACCTCTCCAAACCACAGCAGTGGCAGGACCACCGGCTCGATCTTCCCGGTTTGTCTGGAAATAAGTGAGACCAAGCAAGTGAGAAGTTCTGTTGGGCTGTCTTAGATCAGACAACTCCAGGCCTGTGATCGAAGCCGCAGGGCCAGGAGGGGTTTGATTTTCAACGATTTAACTGGTGTGGCCTTGAGGAATGGGCATCTCCCGACCGGGAGCCACCTGACCATCTGACAGCACCTTTTTAAATGAAAAATTCACATTTCCTATGCAGTGGGGGCTGACCTAACTGATATCCATGCTTTCCTTTGAGAAACAGAACCCCAGTTTTATTCAGGATGGTAATGCACCCAGCTAACAAACATGGTTGATGCTGACCACCTGCTTTCCTTCAGGACGTCTGGAATCTGGTACATGACCAGTCCTCAGTAAACACCCTGAATGCTGAGTCCCTACTGGGTGTCCCTAGTAGGGGACACCTCACATGTGTTGTCACAACTTGTCGCTGGGGGATTAAGCATGTCTGTGTGGCTCCCCGGGAGAGGGTTCTAGAAACCTGTGCCTGGCTCCCCCAGACTTCACCCCGCGAGCCCTCAGGGATGGTGGTAAGCACGGCTGTTAGATCACATCCCTTGAGACCACCACTCTAGCCCACGGGGGCAGCCAGGCAGCAACAGACGGGGACATAGAGGCCCAGAGAGGTCAGGGCGGGGGTGCACGGCCACCAGCAGGCAGAATCCAGCCGCCCAGATGGACGACTGGCTTGGGCAATGTTTGTCAAGAATCAAAATTAACTCCCAAGCAGGTGAAAATTGAGAGGACAGGTGTTCAAATCCAGATTTTGAGAAGTGCATTTGCAAGTACACAGGATGGGGCCACCCTCCAGCCCACGTCCGCTGGTGCTGGACAGAGGCTGGCCCTCGGCCCCATCCCCACCCAGCCTGGCCGGCTCCTCTGGCTTAGTCACCTGCTGGCCCAGTGCGCCCGAGTCAGCAGGCCAGGTGCCGAGTCACATGGGCCCCAGAGCTGGAGCCTGGGCAGCAGACGCCCAGTGCACACGTGATTTCACCAGCCACAGATGCTTCAGGAACAAACTCTCTGAGCGGTCCCAAAGCGTCAAAGTGAAAAGCTGCGGGGCGGGGAAGGTGAGCTGCTCTGATTATTCCCACCGCGCCCTCAGACAAAGTGCGTCTTTCCAGCTGAGAGGCGTCTCACAAAGCCGAACAGATACCCACATCCCTGCAGCCCAGGAATCTCTCCGGGGCAGAGGGGGTGGAGGCGTTTCTTTTAATGAAACGATTTCAAATATGCTAAGAACGGAGTGGGGAGGGTATAGCTCAGAGGTAGAGCGCATGCTGAGTATGCATGAGGTTCTGGGTTCAATCCCCAATACCTCCATTAAAAAATAAATAAACCTAATTACCTACCCTCCCACACACAAAAAATGACTTCATGCTATGAAGCACAAACCCTGACACAACAACCAATCAGTGCACTCCCTCACCCAGCTTAAATCATAACGCGATGCTCTAACAAGAGCTGGCGAGCATGTGGGATGCTGGCG